TTACAATTGGATTCGAAATTACAAAGAGAAGAGAATGGATTTGATTCTCTCCTTTGTTTAAGACTGGGTTCTTCTGTGTAGCGATGGAGTGCTTCTTCGCATTGATCGCGGTCGAACGTTGCTCTCCGTTGACGATCCGACCGTCCTCTCTTCACTGGAATAACTGAAGTGTTTGATGACTTCGCGTTTAGAACTCTTGACGAGTGTTGAAGAACTCCTGAACGAGTTAAGAACTCTGATAAGAGTTGTTGAAAACGATGCTCGCTAGGGTTTGGATGGTAGATAACTTGGTTAGCAAGCTACATTAAAAAAACACTCCTAACGGTTTAGAACTCAGAATGAGTTAAAACTCTAAAACCAGAGTTGTTGGAACGGAAATTCGTTAGATTGCCAAGTGGTGATACCTTTGATGAAAGGATCCTTCGGGCATTGATAGACTTGCATCCGTTGATCAGTTCCTGATCGCCCGCGAAGATCTCTTCCTTCAATCGATTTTGAGAGAATACAAGTCAAATTTTCTTTCTTTGTCTTTTTACATCAAATTTCCAACAAACATGGAGGTGTCAGGTGATGGACGCTTTGGACGCTCAGAATTTGGAGGAGACTCTTGAGTTACAAGAGAAACCTGCCGCTATGGAAGCTAAGGTTTGGAAGAAGATGAATAGTAGGGCATGTAGAGTTATTCGGTCATGCTTGACGCCGGATCTTATTTATGACGTGATGAACGAGACGTCGGCGAAGAAGATGTGGGAAACACTCAATGAAAAGTATCTTACTAAGAGCATTGAGAATCGGCTTCACTTGAAGAAGAGGTTTTACCAGTTCAAGATGAAGAGGGGAGTTTCCATTAGGGAGCATGTTAACAACTTCACAAAGCTACTTTCAGACATGGCTAATGTGGATATCATGGTTGAGGATGAAGACAAGGCGATGCTACTTTTGTGTTCGTTGCCCGATGATGAATATGGTACTTTTTTCCTAACTATGATTAATGGAAGAACTACTGTTAGTTACAAGGAGGTGACCTCAGCGTTGGTGAATTATGAGTTGAGGAAGAGTGTCGATGAGTCCTCCGAGAAGGCATCGAGAGATGCATTAGTAGTTCATGGCCGTGGTTCAAACCGAAGCAGGAGGTCGCGGTCTAGAGGTGCACATCGTGGGATTCGTAGGAATCAATGTGCCTTTTGTAAAGAGGATGGACATTGGAAAACCGAATGCCCAAAGTTAGATCGAGCCGAGAAGAATAAGGGGAAAGCTGTACAAGCTTCAGAGGTGAATGTTGTCAAGACTAGTGGCAACAATTCAGATTCGGATTCTTCGGGCTATTCGTTGTCTGCACTACCGTCAGTTTGTGTTTCCAACTCTACAGAGTGGATGTTAGATTCGGGTGCTTCATACCACGTTTGCCCTAGGAGGGATTGGTTCTCCAGCTTTCAGAAGTTGGAAAGAGAGGATGTTGTGCTCATGGGTAATGAACACGCATGCTCTATTGGTGGTATTGGTACCGTTCGTATTCGGATGTATGACGGAGTGATTCAGGAGTTGGATGAAGTGAGGTTCATTCCGCAGTTGTCGAAGAACATCATTTCACTAGGAGCTTTGGTGGCATCTGGCTATAAAGTGACCTTGATGGATGAACGTTTGAAGGTTACATTGGGGTCCATGATTGTGATGAAGGGCGTCAGAAGGAGCAATTTGTATTATTTACTTGGAAGCATGGCGATTGATAGGGAGATAACGACTTCATCAGATTCGACTAGACTGTGGCGTTGTTTGATACTGGGTTATTTGATTGGTAATGCTGTGCACAGGTTGTTAAGGAGTGCTTTGACCTGCAGTTTGAAGTCCTGTGAACCCATTGGAAGACCAAGGTGGAGTTAGGCACTTCTATCCATCATTCGAGGGGTCTTCTGAGGGGTGTTCATTCAGGCATTCGGGGGCCTTCCAAGAAAGCATCATTGGGAGGTAATAGGTATGTGGTTTCCGCAGTTGGGGATTGCTCTAGGCATTGGTGGGTTGCAACCAAGTCCCGTTGGTGTGAAGTCCTAGAAGCCCGCAACAAATGGAGGAAGTGTATTGGCAGAAAGGTGAAGGTATTTCAGTCTGATGTTAGAGGAAGGTACAAGAGGGACCTATTTTTGCATTTGTGCCGAGCTCACGGCAATAGGAGACACTTCATTGGTATGGAAACTTTAAGGCAACGAGGCGAGATGGCAGATTTGGGGAGCTGTTCCTTTCTGGAGGAGGATCGGCGTTTGATGTCGAGCATTGGCATTGGTGTGCAGGCTACGACATGTTTGTGCCATCTAATACATAGGTTGCCGACTGCTGCATGTAGAGATTTTGGATCTGGTGGAGCTGCTTCAGATTTTGGGTTGCGTCGGATGTTTGGCTACCCAGCACTTAGTCACATCGTGGATGTGAGATTTGATCCGATAGCCAGGCGTGTTTGATTATCAGGTATTGGCTTCTGATTTTGTTCTGAGCAGGTATGTCACGTTTAACTCTCGGCAGGTGGAGAGTGGTGATCAGATCTTTAGGACATCGCAGCGGGTGGAGAGTGATGCTACTCCACGTTGGGTGGAGACTCCAGATCATACTGTATCATTTGGGATTCCAGCTGAGGTGACACAGATTAGGGATCATTTGGATTTGGATGCAGATGATGAGTTGGATTCGATTGCAGTTGATGGACTTGATTTGGATACGGCCATTGGTTCGCCTCAGATGGAGGTGTTTGATTTGTCTCAATTTGGAGCTATTGGGAGTGCTATCAGTTGTAGATCGTTTGGTGATATTGAAGAAGAGTTGCAGACTTTTCTATTTGTTTGAGGGCCTTTGGAGGCCATTTGGGTGAACTACGTGAATGCTTGATTCCTTGGACAAGAGGATACGTAGGCAGTCTTTATGATGCAGCCGATTTGGTGGGCGACATTGGGGGTGAGATCGATTTGGTGAGCGACATCGACATTTGGGGTGAGTGTTTGCACTCCCATTTGGGTCTCAGCAAGTGAGGCATTTGGTGTAGTCGGTGTAGGCTCAGTTTGATTTGGTGAGTAGACACTATTTGGTTTGGGTTGAGTGTTCGCACTCCCGTTTGGGTCTCGACCTGTTGTGGATGGAGTCCGTTGTCATGAGTCCGTTGCCATGGCGTACTGGACGCAACAAGTGAGGCATTTGATGTGGTCAGTGTCGGCTCAGTTTTGGGAAAACTTTACCGAGGTGGAGAATTGTGAATGCTGGCTTCGTAGGGCCACTTGTGGGTGAACGCGGGGTGCAAACAAACCTTGTGTGCATGAAGAAATCAGTAGGTTGTGGGGGCCACAAGGGCCAAAACCTTTGTTGCTGCTTTCCGTGTGAACAGGCCCACCCGAATTGATAATTCCAAAGCTATATAATAGCTACCTAGGGTTTGTGAAAAGGTGCGCAGGAGGTTGGGAAAGTTGTTTTTGACGGCTGCAGAGCTAGGGGCAGGCTTGGGAAAAGCGGCGTGCAGGTGCAGAGGCTGAAAACAAAAGTCAGCAATCAAAGGCTTTGGAGGAAAAAATGCAGGGTTCGTGAGCAGAGAAAACACGACTTTGTGATTTTTTTAGTAGCCCTTGTTAGGGTTTTGTGCATCCCTTTGAGAGAGATTTTGTGAGGGATCTGAGAGTTTGTGAGGGTTTAGATTGTGTGATTGTAAACCCCAGTTGTATCTCTCCCTCTAATAGTAGATCTCCCCCCCTCCTTGCCCCGTGGACGTAGGCAGTTTGCCGAACCACGTAAAATTTTTGTTCTTGCCGTGATTTGTAATAGCTTGTAGGTTCCCTCGACGCGCAGTCCTAGAGCTGACGAGAGGAAGAGCTGATATCTCACTTTGATGAGATATCTGGCTTTCGGTTCTTGTTTCCTTTGAGAAACAAGAATTTCGTTGTGATCTAATCTCTTGTTGTGCACCTTGCGCACCGGAGGTGCTGCCGAAATTTCCGCTGCGCACAACAGTTCATTGTAGCTACAGTAACAATTACTGTATTTATTGAGATATCTCAAGTTTGAGATCTGCTCTTGCATTGTAATTTCTTGCTGATTAATAAGAAATTAATTATGTGGCTCCCGAGGACGTAGGCAGTTGCCGAACCTCGTTAAATCTTGGTGTATTTTTTTATTCTGCGTTTCTGCTGTTTTAGGGGTTTTGCGTAGTCCCGCGGGTAAATTCACAACAGAGGAGGCAGCGGTGATACCGCTAACATCTCTATATCCCTAGTTCAATTCCATATCCCAAAAAAGAAAAAAAAAAGAAAAAAAAGGTGATTGGTCCAACACAACCACTTTGCATTGTGCCCATCCGTTTTTTGGTAATTAAAAGCTTCCAACACTACTACTAATCTCTAAACATCTAACGATGAGTCACTCGTGGTCAGGCCATGGAAGTGACAATTTGCCCACAGACTTGTCTCTCAATTCTTTGTTTCATTTGGAGGGAAAAAAAATTCCGCTTTCTTGTCATTGTCCGTATGCTTCTCATGAAGTCGACCTATCATCCAATTTGATATGAAAAATGGTTGCATTCTTTTAATATTGTTGTTAATATCACCGACTAGTTTTGAGAGACGAGCCAACCAACTCGTGCAGGCAATTCGTTCCTTTATGGCTTTATACAAAATTACACTGGCAATTCAATGTGACCTCTGATTTGTTTCTCTCCTAATAATGAGAAATGTCTTTCTTCTGAGAGCCTCTAACGTCACACCTCGGGATCGGAAGGGGTGTACGTCCCACACTGATGAGTCTCTATATGTAGTTTTGCTCATACCATCGCCATAAAAGGGGTTACGCATTATTAGTTGTATATGTAACAATAAAACATGACATCACAATAATCACATTTTGAACACGGTCGCACAATAATCACATTTTGAACACGGTCATATACGTGGATTCTAGAGGCGGTTTCTATAAGTTCTAGAGGTGACTTCTACAACACTTAAGCAATAGAACATTTAATTGTGCATAGTACTGAGTTCAATTCTTTTGCTGACTAACTGCTCGTATATCATTTTTCAAGCCACGAGACCTCACGAGCACTTTTGTGAAATGTAATTTCCGAAACCGAGTAAGTGCGACATATTGTTTTACTCAAACCACTAAAGATAACTATCCATTTGTACACTTGATTCCGTTAGGTTTTCTTTCTTATAAACTACCTTAAAATAGGATAATTATACGAAAATTACTTTTTATTTTAAATTTATACATAAACCAACTTTAAAGATTGTTTTTAGTGCAATCAACCACCTCCCTGTCAATTTCTTCACTTAAAAGCCAAATTACCCTTAAAAACTCGCATTCAATGTACATGACTCGTTTTTTTAGCGTTTAGTTATTGTAAAATACAAATCATGTATCTTTAACTTGAATTTTTTTAAAGCTTACTTTTGATTTTTTTTAGTGAAAATTTGACTTGGAGGTGGTTGATTACAACAAAAACCAACTTTAAAGATGGTTCATGTATAAATTAAAAATGAAACGTGATTTCCTTATAATTACCCTATTGTTAATGTGATTTCTAGGGGGTAAAACACATTCCGTTAACATGCCTTAAAACTCATTCATACTTTCACAAATTCCCGGAATGTTACAAATAAATATGATATCACATCTATAATTGTTTTACTTACTTGATACATATACATATATTATTGGCCCATAATTTAAAATTCCAAAGGTCATAGAAAATGTATTGTGCTTCACTATCAAAAAAGTAAAAAAAAAAAGTGGATTTGTCTATTGAGTGGTTATAGTTTATTCTTAAAAATTTTGTTAAACAAATCTAACAGTTATGATTTAGCAGTGATTATCTGCTACTTTTTTTGGCAGAAAATTCCGAATCTGTATATATCCATACTCTCATCACATCATCCAATCTTATCCGAACGACAAGTGTACAGTCCAGCGACAGGGACCCGCCAACGTACACGTTCCCAGCTTTATCCAAAAGCTACAACTGTATGCATGTTGACGTGGCTTCAATTAATATCCGCCTCGGGTGAGTTTGGGGGATCCATGATAATAACAGGTAGCTAACATTTTATTTGGTTATTTTACAAATGAAAATTAAGTTTAGTACGCACTAGTTAGACCTAATTAACACTATTTTCTAGTCAAATCAAAACCCTTTAGTTTCGTACCGTGTCTCTTTGTTTTTTAATCTCATTTATTTGTGATATCGATCACCTCTGGTTTTTTGAGGTTTGATGGCAAGTATCCTCTATATATACGGAGGAGGCTAGCTGGCTGCTTGTTGTTTTCCAAACTTGTGTTTATTAGCATTTAGACTCTCTAACGTCCAACAAAGCTATCATTTCTCTGACGTCCAACAAAGTTAAGGAGAGAGAACTCCATTTTAGACACAAAGGAGGTCCTAAGATAAACAAATTAATGATCGAGTAATCTACACACATGAGTCACCGGCATATACGCATGACATAGTATCATGCGTGCATGATCTTTGCAAATGCAATTCTAATTTAGTTTGCTTGGAGAATGCTTTCCTTGCTCTGCCAACTCCGTGGTACTTTTACACACGCTAAAGCGGCCTAAGAAGAGTCAATGCAGAAGCGGATGAGATCGACCCATGCGAAGAAGAGATAGAATTTCACCGACACGATGACGTGGATGAGTAAAATGCGCATGGGACCGGGCATGTGGTGGTTGCAGACTGGTGCGGTGTTCATTTGCTCATGATGCTTGATGATCGATGAGCCAAAAAAATAAAAATAAAAAAATGAGAACTGTGTAGGCTCCATGCATGGATATTTTGGCCAGCAGGATTTAGGGAGAGGAGATGCTCTCTGCAGGGTCGGGTCCTTGACCGCGTCTCTAGGAATATAATTGTGGGCAGCTGACGGTATTCCTACGTGGACTGCTCGCTGTTTTCTGACTCCATACGCATTGGATGCCCCGAGGTTTCTTGCCGAAGTAAAAATCAGGCATTTTGTTCCCCCGTTTACTTCTCTTTCCTTTTATTTATTTATTTAGGGTGTGTTTTTCAAAGTGAACAAAACTAGGTCAATATTAGACCTGGCCATTTTGGTACTAAACCGGTTTTTTTTTTTGGACCAAACCATCCTGGTCCAAAAGAAAACTGGTTTAGCGGTACTATTTAGGCTAAAAAAATTGGGGGCTAGCTCTGACCTGAAAGTTCGACAAAAAAGAAAAAAGTTAAATTAGATCAGGTTCAGTCCAGACCCAATTTAAATTGCCAAACACACCTTTAGTTACGAATAATGTTTATAAAAAAAGATTAGGCCATCACGCATCATATTCTGTCTAAATAATTTAAAAGTCACTAGCATAATAATTAAAGAAAAAGGAAGAGTATGAATTCTTTTCATTGTGTGTGTGCGCGCGCGTTTTTTTTAGGATGCTTACTTAGTTACTTTATCATAACTGTTGCATAATATGTAAAAACTGGAATTCATTTCTGATATAACTAGCACTATTCTCTCCATAAGCTACGTTTCTGGGCTATTAACTACATGATAAAGGGTTATGATTCCGAAAAAAAACATAATTAAATCCAAGGATAAATATGTGCACAAGGAGCAAGTAACACTGGCTTAATTTCGATCCTAAAGCAACGAAGGTTTGACAACCTGGTCTGCATAAGAACTGTAAAATTTTAGCTTCGTTGCTGTCAATGTCCACAAAGACGCAATATCACAAGTTTGTATGTTGGCTAATAGAGAAAGCTGGATGAATGCCAGTTTTATCAACCAACACACTACCCTTTAGTCCAGGTGGCCCATCAACGCCTACCTGAATCCAACATTTATAGATGTACTTGAAGGACGGCTAGACATTTATCTCACCAAACAGAGTAATTAACGTATGATTATGTATACCGCATTATGTGTTTAATAGTTACAAAGAAAATCACACGGGTTATAAATTTACTTGAAAGCAACCCTTTCAAACCATATCAGCTTATTGATCAGCAGGATAGGCTTTATAATTCTACTTGTACATTGCATTCAAAAGTTGCCCAAAAAAAAAACCCTAAAATAGCAAGAGCAACCCCTCAAACAACACAAATTACCTTTTGCATTGCACAAAGCTTCAGGGACTATAAACTAAAACTAACTATCAAGAAAAAGAATATATTGTAACATGTGTGAAGGAAAATAAATATTTGGAACCAAAACTCCAAAATTATTCCACTAAAAATCAGGGTTTTTTTTTCAATTTCTGACACAAACACTAACTCATAGATCCAACTATCTACAACAATAACAACTGCAGGAAGATAATAGCAATTCCAGACACCAGAGCTGTACACAGAACTAGCGAGAGTTCTATTGACAGTAGAGGGAATCTAAATTTGGAGAACCCAGTCTATTTCGTGAACAAATAAGCATGCAGGAAAAAAATAGCAAATCTAGACACCAGAACTGTACACACAATTGGAGGGGTGGGTTTTTTTTTGGGGGGTTGGGGGAGGGGGCTTCTATCAACAGTACAGGAAACCTAAAGATGCACAAACATAGTGAAGAGATCTGGCTTATCTCCCTAGGAATTTATCAATGATAGACACCAATCTAGTTTCAGGTACGGCACCGATGATTGCATCCTTTTTCTCACCATTCTTGAACATTATGATTGTCGGGATGCTTCTTACTGTATACTGGGACGTTAATTCTGGGTACTCATCAGTGTTGATCTTGTAGCAGTCTAATTTTTCTTCGTACTTCTTAGCCAGTTTGGCAAAGACGGGGTGGATTGTTCGGCAGGGTCCACACCATGGCGCCCAGAACTCTACAAGCACTGGCTTTGCACATTCTATGACATGCGACTGCCATGTTTCTTTCGTTACATCTGGAACTGTAACAATAAAATAATGAGTTTAGCGTCTTTAGACGGGTTGATATACATATAAACATTAGATGCAAACAACTCTTTGAAAAGTATTATTTGACAATGTTGATAATGCAAATTAAAATATGGATACTAGAAGCAAGCTAAATCTGAGTGCTATGATCCAAAATCATGCAAAATATTTGCATGAGTAATAAGCATATATTGCTTACTCTGGGGACCTCTTTTATCTAGAATTAATCAAAAGCCACCAGATATTATGCGTTAAAGTTATTCCTGGTTGATGGACAAACAGAGCAGAAGACCTTTATACACCATTTCAAGCGGTGAACTGTCCCCCACTTGAACCGTGAGTTTTATCGCACACAAGGTTTGAACAGTATTGCTCTAAATTAATGATTCAAACCAGGCTCTACGATTCCAAGCACTACCCATCAACAAAGGCCGAGATGAAATTCTGTCGGGACTATCCGCTTTTTGACTGTTCCATTTGGTTGCCTATTGTCATTCTTAACCTCCTCCACAACCACTCGAAGCAACCTATCTTACATATCGAATGCCCATTTGAAATTGTTAGCCTTGTTAGGTCTCATGTTTATGAGCCTACTCCTTAATCTTGTTTTGATGATTATAAACAATTCCTAACAACGTGTGTCGAGTGTTTGCATTTGTTTTGTTAGTTAATCTACACAAATATCCATGTCGGAGGTTGGTTGCATTAAGCCTACACGATCATATACATTGGAGGATGGAAGAAATACCGGAGTGAAGCTATGCACAATTCAAGTCGAAGATTCAAGTTCAAGCTTCATCCATGTTTACCAAAACGAGCATATCGAAGATCTCTTAGCTTGGGTAAATTAGTTTTAGGAGTTTACTTTATGTGTTAATACTTTAAGCTCATTTCATACACGTACACACAAATTGTGGATTTATCGCACTACACATCGTTTTTGTTAAAATATCATGTTTTTGGATTATAGACTAAATATAACTATTTTACATCTTTTCCTAAGTCTATTAATCCATTCAAAAGGATTTGCAAACTTGTTTGAAATAGTTTTTGTCAAAATCAAGTATTTAACGTTTTTGCCTTTTTGAACGGTTTACAAAATAAATTATATTTCATAAATGGGAAATGCAATTTGAGAAATTCTTTTTATAACATATTCTATTACATGTTTACAAACATTTCCCAAAATTTTATCATTTTTGGAGTTGATTTACTATGTCAATTTGATTTTACAAAATCAGGTATTTTAGCAGTTTTCAGAATTTGGAATATCTGTTTTAAAACAATTATTTCTAACAAATGGGAAGTGATATTTTTTAAAAAAAATCTCTAACATGTTCATCTACATGTCTAGAACATTTCCTCAAAATTTCATGATTTTTGAAGTTAATTTACTATTTTTAATTAATTTTGCAAAGCTAGATACGTAAATTTTCAGAATGCTGGATTTTGGGGTATTTTGGTCTTTTCAGCCTATAACGGCTAGAAACGGCTAGTTTTATTTTTGTTGGTTTTTGGCTGGTTTAAGAGGCTATAAAAATCCCTCAACTTTCATAGTTTCATATGGATGTTTAAGAAAGTTTTAAAACAAGTTTACAAGAGTTTAAGGGTTTTAAAAGTTCGTTTACAAGTTTGATTTGTGAAGAAGTTTTCACAAGAGCAAGAGGAGATCATCAATTTGTGTTTGGGCTTTCATCTCATCTCTCTCTTGTCTTCATTGGAGAAATTTTCTAAACTCAATCTCTAGCTATTTATACGTTTGATTTTTATTTCTATAAGAAAGACTTTAATTGAGTTTATATCTCATTTTCACTCATTGTTTACACACATCCATTTGTATTTCTATAAGAAAGACTTTAATTGAGTTTATATCTCATTTTCACTCATTGTTTACACACATCCATTTGAGCGTCTAGTATTTTCATACATAGTATATTTATATCTCATTTTCACTCATTGTTTACACACATCCATTTGAGCGTCTAGTATTTTCATACATAGTATATTGGGGTTGTGGGATTGTAACATTGAGTGTTGGCTTACATTGTGTTCTCATCTATTATAGAGAACAAATCATTTGTTGTTGAGCTTAATTGTGAGAATTACATTGTATTACACTTGTACACCGAGAGGAGTGTGTGGTGAGAGACGGGATCGATTCCAAGAGGAGTGACATTGGTAGTAAAACCTAGAAAGAGATTGTAAATCCGAGCACTTGAGGAAAAAGACACGGGCTAGAGACCAACACTTAGAGGGTATAGAGTGTGATTGCAAGAGTGTGTATTATGAAAGATTTCGGTGAGCTAGAAAATCGAGATCGTGTTGTTGTAAACGTTTTGGGTGAATGTAGAAAACCCGTTGTGATAGTGGATTCTTCCTGAGAGTAGGGAGCGGAGACGTAGGTCAAGGGGACCGAACTCCGTGATCATATTGTGTGTTTGAGTTTGTTTTGACGTATTATTTTTGCTCATTATTTATTTCATTTTATATCGCTATTGCTCATGTTTATCTCACCCTTAGTTTAATATTCTTGCATATATCTTGTTGTATATCATACTTGCTAGAATAATTAGTAAATAAGTTTTTAATTGGTATTATATCAGATTAGATTAGCATAAACCCTATTCACCCCCTCCCTCCTCTATGGGTCTTTCAATTGGTATCAGAGCTTGATGCTCTTTGATTTGTGGCTTAACCGTCTTGAGTTAAAGATCCAAACTTTCATATTGTTGCTAATCTTGTTTTGATATTTCTTTTTGCTTGCATAACACATTATGAATATGCACGGTGTACCTAGCTTAGGTTATATCATTAATGTTGCTCCTAGATTAGATGGTTTTCCTTATGCTTAATGGTGTGTTAGATTTAAATTATTTGTTAGATCTAGACACTTTGATTTGTGGAAAATAATTGATTGTGTATATATATTGTACCCACTTCGGAGAAATCAAAGGGGAGTCAAAATGATCATAAAATGTTTACCATGAACAAGCTCTTGTTAGAATTTTTATACAATGTTTTTTTTGATTCATCTTTATCTAACAAGCTTGCTCATTTTGATAGTGCTTACAAATTATAAAAATTTATAGAAGCATGTCAAGGAAACTTGGAGGAGATTCAACGCGTTTTGGCGGAATCGACTTCAAATAAGGTTAGAGCATCATCATCATACACACGGTCACTAGGTGATAGCCCTAGTGTGATAAGTGAGTTCGATTCCGATGATGATTTATCTATCAATGAACTCGTATGTGCATATAAAAGATTAATGCATGCCTACACAAAAATGCATCATAATTTTAATAATTTAAAAAGCAAGCATATAGAATTAAAATCCGATCATGAATTGCTAGCATCTAAGTTCAAATGTTGCTAGTTTAACTCATGAAAAGGATAATGTCATATTAGAAGTAGAGAACATGAAAAATCAAGTTAATTCTTTTGCTAACACTTATATGTTCTACTTCTAATAACAATGCTTTTGTGCAAAATGATGAGTTGAATCATGTTAAGGATCGTATATCTATCTTAGATTCAACCCTTAAAACATGCATTGTTAATCATAATAAGCTTATGGACTTATGTGCAAAGTCCCATGTAAATTCTTTCAAGAAACTCACTATGCACACATGTATAACAAAATATATAAGCGTTCTATTTGCGGCCGTAAAGACAATTTTGCTAAATTTTGTTATAATACACAAAAGTCCACCAAGTCTAAAAATGTTGATCCTTGTGCATCCCATCAAGTTTTATCATCACATGCACATGCACATACTCATAAATTCATCATAGATATGCTCATGTGTTTAAATGTGATTTTTGTGATCGTTTTGACCATTTGGCAAAATATTATTTTGATTTGAAAAAAGTTTCACATTTGCCAAATGTTTCTAAAAGATCACATAAGTTTGAATATGATTTTTGTGGTAGAATTGGTCATTTGGTGAAATATTGTTTTGATTTGCAAAAAGCTTTTATTTCGCAAAATGTTCCAAGTAGACTACCTTTGTTTAATAATGTTTCACATTTGCAAAATAATTTTAAAAGACCATTTTTGTTTGTAAATGTTTCCCGTGCACAACCACAAGGTCAACACAAACCATTTCACCCTTTTTATTGCACGTATTGCAATCGGAAGGGTCATTTGCATAATTATTATTATGACCGTGTTTGTGCACCACATGCGTCCAAATGAGATCATAATCTAAGGACATTTAGCTTAAATGATAAAGGTCATGTCCCTAAATCTTTCGGCACCAGGAGTATTTAGGTGCCAAAACCTTTTGATTTTTAAATCAAGATTTTGTGTTTTTATTTTTCATGTTTTTTTGGAAAACGTGTTTTAAATTTTTTTAATGAGAATATAAACATTTTTTAAGTCAATCTATATATTGTTTTTATGTTTGTGTATTGAGACATAACTTTCAAGATAATATACCTATGTGTTCTCAATTACTCATGATTTAATCAAAATGCCAAATAGAATGTATGATAACTTATGAATTTTTCAAAACATTTGACTTTTGAATTTTTTAAGTCTTTGTGATTTTCACTTTTGAATATTTTCATATGCTTTTAGCCACTTTGATAAAGGGAGCTATTCCCTACATTTTTAATACTCACCTATGCTTTATGATAGGGGGAGCTTTCGCTCTCTTTATTCTTGTTGTTTCCCCCATTTTTGATGTTGACAAAGGGGAAAAACATTGTGAGTATAGCTTTGGTTTTATGCATAATGTTTATGACTTACATATTCTTTTGTATCATGCACATTTTATATCTCTTTGTGTAGATTGTTTGTCATTATCAAAAAGAGGAGATTGTTAGCCTTGTTAGGTCTCATATTTATGAACCTACTTCCTAATCTTGTTTTGATGATTACAAACAATTCCTAACAACGCATGTCGAGTGTTTGTATTTGTTTTGTTAGTTAATCTACACAAATATCCATGTCGGAGGTTGGTTGGATTGAGCCTACACAATTATATACATTGGAGGATGGAAGGAATACCGGAGTGAAGCTATGCACAATTCAAGTCGAAGATTTAAGTTCAAGCTTCATCCATGTTTACCAAGACGAGCATATCGAAGATCTCTTAGCTTGGGTATATTAGTTTTAGGAGTTTAATTTGTGTGTTAATACTTTAAGCTCATTTCATACACGTATCGCATTATACATCGTTTTTGTTAAAATATCATGTTTTTGGATTATAGACTAAATATAACTATTTTACATCTTTTCCTAAGTCTATTAATCCATTCAAAAGGATTTGCAAACTTGTTTGAAATAGTTTTTGTCAAAATCAAGTATTTAACGTTTTTGCCTTTTTGAACAGTTTACAAAATAAATTAAATTTCACAAATGGGAAATATAATTTGAAAATTTATTTTTATAACATATTCTATTACATGTTTACAAACATTTCCCAAAATTTTATCATTTTTGGAGTTGATTTACTATGTTAATTTGATTTTACAAAATCAGGTATTTCAATAGTTTTCAGAATCTGGAATATCTATTTTAAAACATTTATTTCTAACAAATGGGAAGTGATATTTAAAAAAAAATTCTCTAACATGTTCATCTACATGTCTAGAACCTTCCCTCAAAATTTCATGATTTTTGGAGTTAATTTACTATTTTTAATTAATTTTACAAAGCCAGCTACGTATATTTTCAGAATACTGGATTTTGGGGTATTTTGGTCTTTTCAGCCTATAATGACTAGAAACGGCTAGTTTTATTTTTGTTGGTTTTTGGGGGTTTTGGTTGGTTTAATAGACTATAAAAATCCCTTAACTTTCATAGTTTCATATGGATGTTTAAGAAAGTTTCAAAACAAGTTTACAAGAGTTTAAGGGTTTTAAAAGTTTGTTTACATGTTTGATTTGTGAAGAAGTTTTCACAAGAGCAAGAGGAGATCATCAATTTTTGTTTGGGCTTTCATCTCATCTCTCTCTTGTCTTCATTGGAGAAGTTTTCTAAACTCAATCTCTAGCTATTTATACGTTTGATTTTCATTTCTATAAGAAAGACTTTAATTGAGTTTATATCTCATTTTCACTCATTGTTTACACACATCCATTTGCATTTCTATAAGAAAGACTTTAATTGAGTTTATATCTCATTTTCACTCATTGTTTACACACATCCATTTGAGCGTCTAGTATTTTCATACATAGTATATTTATATCTCATTTTCACTCATTGTTTACACACATCCATTTGAGCGTCTAGTATTTTCATACATAGTATATCGAGGTTGTGGGATTGTAACATTGAGTGTGGGCTTATATTGTGTTCTCATCTATTATAAAGAACAAATCATTTGTTGTTGAGCTTAATTGTGAGAATTACATTGTATTACACTTGTACACCGAGAGGAGTGTGTGGTGAGAGACGGGATCGATTCCAAGAGGAGTGACGTCGGTAGTAAAACCTAGAGAGAGGTTATAAATCCGAGCACTTGAGGAAGAGGACACGGGCTAGAGACCAATACTTAAAGGGTATAGAGTGTGATTGCAAGAGTGTGTATTGTGAAAGTTTTCGGTGAGCTAGAAAATCGAGATTGTGTTGTTGTAAACGTCTTGGGTGAACGTAGAAAACCCGTTGTGATAGTGGATTCTTCCTGCGAGTAGGGAGCGGAGACGTAGGTCAAGGGGACCGACCTCCGTGATCATATTGTGTTTGAGTTTGCTTTGACGTATTATTTTTGCTCATTATTTATTTCATTTTATATCGCTATTGCTCATGTTTATCTCACCATTAGTTTAATATTCTTGCATATATCTTGTTGTATATCATACTTGCTAGAATAATTAGTAAATAAGTTTTTAATTGGCATTATATCGGATTAGATTAGCATAAACCCTATTCACCCCCTCTCTAGTGGTCTTTCAGAAATAGTCCAACCTTTACCCATATTCCTAATCAAATAAAAGACATTTAAAAACAAAAGGGAAAAAGTCATATATACCAAAACTCCACCTGTTTGCATCAATCACTTGCCAGAATCACCCCCTTCTCTTACAACTTATGTTTCATAGGTATGGGTACAAGTATGGAAAATTTGTAAAAGTTAGGATATGGGGACACACCTACATGTGTATTGAAATTAATAATTTATGCAAATCAATATTATTTTTTCATACAAGAATTAAATTTCCTATAATATTTTTGTGTTCTAATTTTGTAGATTACAAATTAGAAAATTTGCTTTTATTTACTTCAGTTATTAAGCAACCCTTGAAAATTAAACTTCCAAACTAAGAATGGGTTGAAACGAACATGCCACGTGTCTACCGATTTTCGAAAAGTGGATATGAAGTGTAAGATATACGTCCAAGAGGTGTATGACGAGTGTTTAAACTAAAACATGGATTACACAATTGAGTATACATCTCAATAAATGTATGTACATATTCAAGGAGTCAGCAAGAAGCATCAGAATTGGACATTGGTAGTCAACAAACGGGTACAACACGTGTACAGGAGCCTCAATGAGGAGTAGAGTTACTTACTTCCAACAAAAGCACCCTCAATCTACCGCCAAATAAAACTTCTCATTGTAATTTTGCAATGCTTTTTTAAAATTATTTATCTTATAAAAAATTTCAAATTGATTTGTAATGTTTCTCAATTATTTTCTGATGTTCAACATTTTTCAAAAAAACATTAGATCTTAAAAAATTCATTTTCGATAATTTCCATAAACTTACAATATTTTCAAATTTTCAAAATTTGAAAATCAATCTAGCATCACCAATGTTTTTCACAAGTTTATAATTTTTGCCAATAAGCAGATTCCTAAAGTGTCATTTTAAGCAAAATGATACGCCTATTCTCATCAATTTTGGGCCCAAAAGGACTGTACAAATGTTCAAATGTGTGTTCTATTGGCTAGGAATGAGTAAGCGAGTCAACAAAACATTCAGGAATACAAGACGCATAAAATGCATAAAGTTCAGATGATTTTCTCCAGCTGGGCTCCTCCAACCCCTGTGGATCCTATCCACGTTTAGAAAGATATAATGAAGGTTTTCATAGAAGATATACCGCAAAGAAATAATAATACGATCATATTTTGTGATGAACGGTTTTCTATCCAAGTGTATATAATTTTTCCCACTTTTTCATCTGGCATGACCACTAAAATTATCCAAGTCTTCATTGCAAGGAGTTTGCAAACTATACAGCATCTCCAACATGATCATTGTCGATCAAGACACTTACCCAGCGCTTTGTTATAGGATTTCATGGCCCTATACAAAGTGCACTTTCAATGAGTTCGACAAACCACCCACTTTAAATGGTCAATAGAACTTCGGAAACTTACTTGAGTTGTTTTTACAGTACAAAATGGAAGGGGTAGGTAAAGGCTTCGATGAACCATTTATTGGTATAACACTTCTAGGCACACAACTATCAGAACAAAACTTAATTAAGTAGTATGGCCAAGCCAACCATCCACATTACAATTTTGCACCCCTTATACTTTCAAGCCTCCTACCATGAGGAAACTCTCAATTCTAGGACATTACACTACAAGTACTCTAGGATCATATCCAACTAGCCCAACAGTGGATGAAGAAACTTGGAAATGACAAATGCACTAACTGCATGTTTTTTTTCCAAATGTTCTGACCCTACTATAAAAAGAGAAAATATCTTCTGTCCCAGGGCAGGGAATACACAAACTCTTTTATCACCTCTTTATTTCCTCTTCAGATATTCTCCTCTAGAGCTCATCCCCTCTCAGATATGTCTCTCCTTTTAAGATCTTGCCTACATTTGCCTCCATGTTGCTAGCCTAACTTGTAAAGGTTTTCATCATTATTTTGTAACTTTTTAAGCTTTCGTATAGTACGTCAGTAGCCTATTACACATTTCCTTCTCTTTTCTCTCGATTCCAATAGAAAACTTTTGTTGTGTTCTGGTTTGCAATGAGAGCAAATAACTATTCCTCTAGCTCAAATACTCATCCTGATGCGAGAGTTCATAACAAGATACAAACTAAACCCTTGTGTGATTCTAACATGCTCTCAAATAGATTAAAATTTGACATTCTTCTTCAAATACGGAGTTCCCTCTTATGAAAGGGGGGAAATGCAGCTAATAATATAGCAGGTCAACGCCAACCAGCAACTATATCTGAAAAAGAAAGAAGCTAAATCGTAACAATATAGTAACCCCAAGATCTTGAAATTAGCAAGTAAGATCAATATTTCAAACGCATTCCAAGAATCAACATTAAACTTAAACGATTTGACTTTCAAACATCTGAACACAAGCATATCATAATTTCAAGAAAGAAATATATTAAAAAAATCATCAATCGCAGTGCCATATTATTCGGATCAAAAGAAATTACCCTCGGCGGCAGTCTCCTGAACCTCGGAGATCACCGAGCCACGGCGATCGGGCTTCGGATCCGTCGAACCTGCCACCGCTGATCGAACCTTCTGGAAACGGCGAGAAACGCTAAGTCCTGTGAATAGGGGAAGAGATCTCTCACCGAAACCTAGTTCGCCGCCGCGGATCGAGAGGGAGGATCGAGGAGAGGAGGCGATCGCGAGGTTGGGGTGAAAGCGGGGGAGAGCTAGGGTTTCGAGAGCGGGTGACGCCATTGCAAGAGGGGAGATTGAGGAGGAGGACGAAGGCTCTGAGAGATCTTGAGCAGCGCGATCGATGAAAACGATGATCTCGGTTAGAGAGAGAGAGAGAGAGAGCAAGTAAAGCGAGAGATGAGTGAGAGGGACGTTATATGGTCCCGTAACTGTCTGGACTGGGTCCGAGTTCTTGCAGGCTGTAAGGAGATCTCATCGCAGGCCTATTAATTGTAACACAAAAAACCGGAAAATTTCACAGAACCCCCACAAAACTTTGGATCGTTTCACGCGAAAATCCCTTAAAGTTGGCCTAAATTCACTCTAAGTTAGTTTCCTATTCTTAGTATTATGCATTCTATTTAAGGCTTTGATTTGTATTTAGAGAGGGACAATCTTAATAATATTTTCTCAAAGTTAGCGATAGTTTTTTCTCAATTTGAGTTCTCGATTGTTTCTTTGAAACACCTATTCCGGTGCACCAAATTGGCATTTTCACCTGGACCTTATGGCTGAGGACGGTTCTAGTGGGAAACAACTCGCCGACGACGAACGGCGGCTCGAAAGAGTCGAACAACGACTCGATGGCTTTGATGAAACACTTCGCAATCTGACGCAGATGATGGTTGCGTGGACTGCCGAAGTGAGGCATGGAAGAAGAGAGAGACTACCAGATTGGGTAGGGGACCGATCGAAGAACGGTGACCCCGATGATGACGGCGGCGAAGTGATTGGCGGCCTGCAGAACCCCGAGAAAGAAAATCTTGATGCGTGGAATCCTAGGGTCCATAATCTCGATGACCTAGGCCTGAATCGCAACAACCCAGGCTTGGGTAACCCACGTCGGCCCTTAGGGGTGCGGTTGACCCCCGGCGACCCCAAATTGGAGCCAATCTGGGCGCGGCGGCGCGAATTGCGAAGCCCATATTGTTAGTCACGATTTTCACGAAAATCGCCCCCTGCAAGTGTTCGTATGAGGAGAGCGACGGGTCTTCAGGAGGCACGACGAGGAAAACATCCGGTTGGGCATTCCGTCCAGCAACGACGACGGGTTGAACGGCAGTGATAGATTCCGGCGAGCGGCTATGAGAGACTTTGGTGAGCAAGACGCGATTTTTCCTCCTTTTCGAGGTGGGGTTGCTTTTTGTCAACCATAGTAGATGAATCCTCCTCATTGATAGCAATGGGAGTTGGATTATTCATCCGGGGAAGAAGATAGTTTCCAATTTGACCATCAGGCTATGAATTGTGGTCAAAATAGTCAACAATTTAAGATGAAGATGGACTTGTCGTGCTTTGATGGGCGTTTACACATTGGAATTTTCTCGATTGGATTCATAACATCGAGAATTTTTTATTATTATTTAGAGATTGTGGAAGACCGACAAGTAAAACTCGTGGCCTACAAATTGAAAGGTGGAGCTTCTGCTTGCTGGGAACAACTTCAATATAACCGTCAACGACAAGGAAAAACAACGTATTCATACTTGGCCTAAGATGAAGAGGTTACTTCAACAACGTTTTCTTCCTCCGGATTATGAACAATTTCTATACCAACAATACCAAAATTGTCGTCAAACCAATCGCACGGTGAATGAGTACACAGAGGAATTTTATCGATTAAATGCTCGAGTCAATTTGTCAGAGACGGAAGATCAATTAATCGCTCGTTATATTGGAAGTTTAAAGTTGACTATTCAACACCGTTTGGCTCTTCAAGGAGTCTGGACTATGACTGACGCAGTTAATTTGGCGAGGAAAGTGGAAAATCAAATCAACAGGTCTGTCGTGCGCACTTCGAGTAATTTTCGGTGACCAACTCAAGAAGCTTTTTCTACTCTAAAAGAGTTCACATCTTTGGCCAGCAACAAAAGCAACAATAAAGATGCCCCTAATACTCAAAATTCGATGCAGGATCGAGGAGGAACTTTAATCCCTATTAGACCTAATACTCAAGGTCAATATCAGCAACCACAACGAACCACTAATGATCCTTATGCGTGTCCTACTCTTAGAAAATATTTATGATGCAACCAACACGATCATCTTTCAAATAATTGCCCAAACAGACGAACAGTCAATTATGTGGAGGAGGATGGTGGTGACGAGGAGCATGTACTTGAAGAATATATTTATGAAGGAGCTATGATTGAAGTGGGAGACGAAGGAGAAGAGGTAGCTTGTATTGTTTAACACCTTTTGCTAGCCCCAAAGACACAAGATGATTCGCAACGATACAAGATATTCCGAACCCGATGCACTATTAGAAATAAAGTATGCAACGTGATTATTAACAGTGGCAGTAGCGAGAATGTGGTCTCCAATGCTTTGGTAAAGACACACAATTTGAAAATTGAGAGGCATCCCTCGCTTACAAAATTGCATGGATTGAGAAGGGTCCTAAAGTTCAAGTTCTAGAAGCTTGCAAGGTTCCTTTGTCAGTTGGTAAATATTACAAGGATGATATTTTATGTGATGTAGTGGATATGGATGCTTGTCATGTGCTCTTAGGAGACTGTGGCACTATGATGTGGATGTTACTTATAAAGGTCGTGATAATACTTTTGTCTTTTGGTGGTTTGATAAGAAGATTGTTTTGATGCCACAATCTCGCCCGTCTGACAACAAAAGTTTAATTATTAAGGAAGACAAGCCGGTGTTCACCAACATAATGGGTTCAGCCTTCTTTGCTGAAGTCAAAGAACCGGGTTTTGTGGTAGCATTGGCGGTTAAAAGTCAATCTGAGACTATTGTTGAAATCCCTCCTCTAGCTCAAAAGGTACTATCTCTAGTACCTGGAGCTAGCTTACCCAATTTACCACATTATCGCATGACCCCAACTGAATATGAGGAATTGCAAAGGCAAGTTAATGAGTTGCTTGATAAAGGTTTGATTAGGGAGAGTATGAGTCCTTGTGCAATCCCTGCCATGCTTATCCCGAAGAATGATGGAAGTTGGAGGATGTGCGTTGACAGTCGAGCAATCAATAAAATTACTGCCAAGTACCGATCTCCTATTCCACGACTTAATGATATGCTTGATAGATTGGAGGGAGCTGTGGTGTTCACTAAACTTGATTTGCACAGTGGCTACTATCAAATCTGTATTTGGCCTAGAGATAAGTGGAAGACAGCCTTAAGACTAAGGATGACCTCTATGAATGGTAGGTGATGCCATTTGAGTTATCTAACGCACCTAGTACTTTCATGTGTTTGATGAATTAGGTTCTTTGTCCATTCATTAGGAAATTTGTGGTCGTTTATTTTGATGATACCCTTATTTATAGTCGAGATGAGGATGAGCATTTGACACATCTCAGGGAGATTCTTCTAGTTATGCAAGCTAATAAACTATATATCAATCTTAAAAAAGTGCACTTTCATGACTAACCAGCTTCTATTTCTTGGCTTTATAGTGGGAAAGAGATGGAATTCAGGTTGATGAGGCCAAGGTAAAGGCAATTCGAGAATGGCCAACTCTGTGAACCGTGCATAAAGTACAAAGCTTCCATGGTTTAGCTACTTTTTATAGGCGTTTTATTTGAGGTTTTAGTACTATCATGGCAACCATTACCGAGTGCTTGAAAAAAGGCAGTTTCAATTGGGAAGGACGCAGGAAAGGAGTTTTGAGGTAATCAAAGAGAAGTTGTGTTCTGCTCCTGCGCTGGCACTTCCTAGCTTCGACAAGGTGTTTGAGGTTGAATGTGATGCATCGGTTATGGGAATTGGCATAGTTCTAACACAAGAAGGATGCCTAATGGAGTTTTTTTTAGTGAGGAGGTTGCAGAGCCTCGACAAAAAATGAACTACTTATGAGCTCAAATTTTATGTCTCTATTCGAGCTTTAAAACATTGGGAGCACTATTTGATTCAACGGTAGTTCGTACTGTTTACGGATCATCAATATTTAAAGTATATCAACTCCCAAAAAATGATAAATAAAACGCGTGCTCGATGGATTGCTTTTTTATAGAAGTTCAACTATGTCATCAAGCATAGATCTGGTCAATCTAATAAAGTAGCAGATGCCTTAAGTCGACAAGCCTCTTTACTAGCTACGATTAGTACAGAAGTGGTGGGTTTTGATTCTTTTAAAGATACTTATGCTAGTGATGACGACTTTGATGATATATGGGTGAAATGCAACAACAAGGAATTTATGAGTGACTTCCTCACTCAAGATGGATTCTTGTTTAGAGGTACACAACTCTGTATTCCTCGATCTTCTTTGCGTGAATAATTGATTCGAGAATTGTACACTGGAGGATTTGGAGGACATGTTGGCCTAAGACAATTAGCTTGGTAGAGGAGCGATTTTATTGGCCTTAATTGAAGAGAGATGTTATACGTTTCGTTCAGTGTTGTCCCATAATGAAGTGAAGAAAAATCTCGAGGAGGCTAATTCTCGATACAAATCCACAACAGACAAACATAGGTGTGAGAAGAGTTTTAATAAGGGGGGTTTGGTAATGGTGCATTTACGTAAGCATAGATTTCCAGTCGACACTTACAATAAACCCAAGGACAAGAAAATTGGTCCTTTCCATATTCTCCAGAAGATTGGCGATAATGCTTACAAAGTTGATCTTCCAACTGAAATGAACATCTCCAACTAACACCTTCAATGTTGCGGATATCTTTGAGTACTTTCCACCAGATGAGTTTTCTTTACAACAACGAAACTCGATGACGAGTTTTCTTCAAGAGGAGGAGATTGATGCAGGACACGTTTAATAAAAACAAGTTTCCCATTCTTATTATTGGTTTTCTATTTTATTATTTTCTAGAATTATTTTCTAAGTTTCCTAATTTCACTCTAAGTTAGTTTCCTATTCTTAGTATTATGCATTCTATTTAAGGCTTTGATTTGTATTTAGAGAAGGACAATCTTAATAATATTTTCTCAAAGTTATCGATAGTTTTTTCTCAATTTGAGTTCTCGATTGTTTCTTTGAAACACCTATTCCGCCGCATCAATGCTACTCTATAAAAAACATTGTGAACGTAGGCAAAAGTGGAGGAATAAGTAATTGTTCTTTCAAATTGTCAAAAGAGTAGATGGTCATTTTAGTAACGGATGAGAGCAATTTGGTCATTTGTCAATATTTGCGGGTTTAATCTCTTTCTCCCTTTCTCCCCCTTCTCTAGAATATCCCATTACTTTGAAATGTCAATTCCTTCTTCTCTATTTTATTTTA